GCGTCGACAAACTGCCAATCTCTCATCGAGTCTATCATTTCGCTGAGTCCGCCAGACTGCACCCTGACTGTGCCCACGAGCGGTCTGGAGGTGAATGTGTATGAGTTGGCCAACGGTTTCTCCAGCGTGTGCTCTTCCCTGTCGAGCGATTCGTCCGCCAGCACGACGTCGACGACGTCGACTTCCACTAGCACCACGGCGTCGACGACTTCAACCACGGCACCTACGACGTCGGCTATCACCTCGACGGCCGCTTCGAGCACCAACGACGCCACCACCGCGGCTTCGACGAACTCAACAGAGGTAGCAACGACGTCGACCAGCTCGGACTCGACCACCGCCACCACGACGGCCACGGCCTGCTGATGGACAACGTTCTCGTTCATATCATCTGACACAAGAACTTCAGCTTTTCCAGCAATGCTTCAGTAATTTTGTCGGACGTATGTTTGCTAGCATTATCGCAATCGGCATTGCTAGAATATACACGAAAATGTCTAGCTGCATTGTAGCGTTTGTTGCGATGTTATGTCGTTTTTCGGCGTCGTATCGGAATCCGTTAATTCACCGCGCAGAGAAGTAATTTATGATCCTGGCCGAAAGCAATGGTAAGCTTACGCGTAAACAACGGCAATACTACAGAGTTGAGATTACGCCGCATAATTTACGCAGAGGCGAGCGAGTTAACAATGGAAAATTTGCCCACCGCAGTTGAACCTAGTTTCATACAAGCTCGTACGACAAAGTAGCGTCTAACTACGTACCAAGCTCCTAGCACATCAATTGTATGGTATCACATGAGATTTTTTTTAGCATGGGGGCGATCGATTGTCGATACCCTCATCCAAAAAATGATATATATATATACACTGCCAACGTTGTCACTAACGCAAGAAAATACGTCCTAGCTCAAACCTAGCCTGTAACAACTTAGCATGCGGCGGCGGTCTGCGTCACCGAAGTCTGAGTCACGGACTCCGTCGAGTTCGTCGTGGTGGCGGCCGGAGTGGCAGCGGGAGTGGCAACGGGAGCATCGGTAGCCGTCGGCGTCGTCGTCGTCGTCGTCGTCGTGGACTCCGTAGTGGGGGCAGCCGTCGTCGCGGCAGGGGCCTCCGTCGTCGTCGACGTGGCAGCGCTCGAGGTAGTCGTGGACGACGAAGACAACGAAGAGCACTTCTCCGAGAAACCGCTCGTCAGGTCCACCACGTTCAACACCAGACCGCTCGTCGGCACCGTCAGGTCGCAGTTAGGCGGGTTCAGGGCGGCCACCGACTCGATCAGCGACTTGCAGTTGTCCGAAGCGCACATCTTCACGTACTGGTCGTCGTCCGGCAGCGACGTCGAGTACAGCAGGCTGAAGCCAGAGTCGTCGGCGCAACCCTGGAACGAGCTCAGGGTCAACACGCTAGCGAGCGTCGAGTACGCGGTCGTCTGGTCCGTGGACGAGCACGTCTCAGCAGCGGCAGAGCCGACAAAAGCGGCGGCGGCAATGGCGAGGACAGTCTTCGTGTTCATGGTAC